AGGGTGAGTTAAATAAACGGTAACGTTACATTTTCATTTTTTCACTCCCTCTAAGTAACGTAGTAATGTAACACAATAGCTCTTTTGTAAGCCTATTATTACTTTGCCAGGTTGATTTTGTTTTTCCAATTTTGATTTTAGACTGATGATTATTATTTTTATTTTTCATTTTAGGGAGTTAAATTTAGAAATTTTAGTTAAATGTTGACATTTTAATGTTTACAGTGTACTGCTGATGATCAGCTGTATTGAAAGTCATTCTTTAATCTCATTTGCTTAAGAATCTTTCCTCAAATCAAAGATAAATAAAGTGCAACCTTTTATCAGTCTGTGCTGCAATTTGTTTTAAAGGGATAGTTCACCCAAAACACAAAAAACACTTTGGAACACAAATTAAGATATTTTTGATTAAATCTGAGAGCTGGATCACTCCTCCATAGGCTTCTTAAGGGATCGAAACTGGCCGGCCCAAAAGTTATGAAAGACATCGTTAAAATAGTCCGAGTGACTACAGTGGCTCAATCTTAAGTTTATCAAGCGACGAGAATACTTTTTGTGCGGCAAAAACAAACAAAAATGAATAGTTGAATAAAGTCGTTATTTTGTTCGTTTTTTCTGCACAAAAAGTATTCTCGTCGCTTGATAAACTTAAGATTACTCTGTAGTCACACTGCAGTCACTCGGACTATTTTAACGAAGTCTTTCATAACTTTTGGGCCGGCCAGTTTCGATCCCTTAAGAAGCCTATGGAGGAGTGATCCAGCTCTCAGATTTAATCAAAAATATCTTAATTTGTGTTCCGAAGATGAACGAAAGTCTTACGGGGTTGGAACAACATGAGGGTGAGTAATTACTGACAAAATTTTCATTTTTGGGTGAACTAACCCTTTAAACTTGCCCACTTTGATTGGTTGGAAGCAACAAATAAAATGGCTGTATTTCTCTTTAAACATGTATTACAAAATATATAATTATTTGTGACATTAATGAGAGATTTTTATTCCCCCAGACTTCATCAACAGACAACAGGGTCATGTCACTGCATGGCTAACTGAGTCATGCTAAAGTTAGACAACTAAAATACTCAATAAATCCTTCCTCCTTAGGGCACGTGCAGTCATGTGACCACACACTGAGAGGTGATTGGCTGAAGGCAAACTATGGAATTATGTCACAGTTTGTGCCAAGTGGAAGGTACCGTACTTTCCATGTTCTGCTGAAGAGCATTGATAGGCTACTCATTTGGGGGAAGAGAGAGTTTCCAGATCTCACACAAACAAAAAAAGTCTTTGTAAAATGTGTTGCAACATTGACCAAGAGTTTTTCATGCAGGACAGGTTGCACCTAATCTCACCCGTAAAAGACTTTCAATTATGTAACCCAATAATTGTTGTCAGGTTTGAAATTATCATCAATCTGACCAGTCATGACAAATTCCTTTGGGAAAACATTTTTACAGTGCGCAGTTAGAACAATGAAGCATGCACATATTTTAAAATGGGAATTTTAAATGAAAAGTAATCTTACTGTAGCTTATGAAAAATGCAGTTTGTGTTGTTTTAAAATAACAAATCATCTTTTATTTTCTTAATTTTTTATACTAAAGTTACATACAATTTTTTTTACTAGATCTGTATATTCATGTACACACTGATTCATTTATCATGCCATTGCTACCATAATCTTCCAAGTGTATTTCACAATTTTATAATGGATTCATTTTAGTTGATACTAAAATTACTTTGCGTTTTATGTTGATCCAACTTTGTTTTCTTGCAGAGAATCAATAAAATACTTAGTCTCTTTTAAAGAGCATTAATCCACATATTTTAATAAAAATGGACGGACTGAGTCTTTATTTAGAAAGTTGAAAAAAGCGGCTTTTATTTACAGCTGTATTGCACAAATTAGCACAGAAGATTTCAGTGCAAAATACAAAAAGATGCATTTAACAAACAAACAAAACAAACATTTTTTTTAAACAATTTTTCATCAATGTAATTGTGCTACAATGTACTGGGTCCTGGGTGGCGTCAGATCGGGCAATGCGGGTGTTCAGTGCAACAGGACTGAAGAGACTCAGTCAGAGGTCCAGTGAGAAATACACAGGTTGGCCTGAAATCCTTGGATTTCCCTCAAAAAAAAAAAAAAGGTTTGTTCTTAATGGGCTAAAGAACGGGAATGCTGCTAGAATCCTTCAGCAAAGGCAGAGAACGAAAACGTGGAACATGGAACATGACACAACGCACAATGCCAATAGAATTGAAAAACGAGGTCTTTGGTTTGAGTGGTAAACCTGGAACGGTTGCTAAACATTATCATTTTGGCAAAGAGAAACAATCTAACTGATATACAAACAAATTCATATGATATCAGGGCCAAGTGGAATATCTAACCGACGGATTTTTACACACACCATATACATTTATTTCTTAAACTTTCAGCAATACCTTTCATGGTAGGTAGTCAACACATCTTTTCATATTTACTTAATTCTATGCATCTAAAAAACATCATTATTATACCAACATACTTGACGACTCGTCCTGAGCCTTGTGCATCATTGATTACTGGAATACTGGGACAATGGTAAAAAAAAAGTAAAGCCAGGAGAAGAACCAATAAGCCGAAGTAAAGATGGAAGACCGGTTTGATCAAGAAATCTACACAGGTGTATTTCCCTTAGTCCCTGAGGCTGGTTAAAGGCCAATTAGTCAAGCCAGTTTGTAAGATGTGGGGTAAGGCTGGTGGTGAACAGTGGTTGTAATGTGTGCACTACTAGTGGATATGGGCAGTTAACTATAAGGGTTGCAAATTCATTCCCAAGTTTGGTGTAATAAAAAAAACCCTGCTCTATCACCATTGCGCTCTTGAACAAGGCACTTCAATGCAGTTTTTCAGAGAACAGCAAATGACTAAATGATAAAATCCACATAACCCCTTGACCTAAACTATATCACAAAACTATAGGCATAAGCACAATCTGTTGGAACATTAATGGAATCATTAAAATTTCACTTTTGCTAATTGAGAAACAAACAAGGTATCTAACAAATCAAAATACCAAATGTGGAATGTTTCCACGTTAAAATAACAAGAATGTCCATGTTAGTTACACATATTTCATACCTTTGCCTGTCAAATGAGATTTATTTGTACTGGTATTCACTTACATAAAATAATTAATATACTGTTCTAGTACCTGAAGATGTTTGTCAGACCTTTTCACATGACTCATCTCTAAACACTATTGTAATGCGACACTTTGACCTTTGCATGAAAAGCATTGCAGACAGAGTACTGGCAAAGCGGAAAATAGTGAAAGTAAACAATAGGCTTAATGCATATTTGAGCCTATAACCGGAAAATTACGTAGATTCACAAAACTTTACTGCTCAAGTTGAAATTGTTTGAAATTTGAATGTTACATTATAGGCAAGGATGTATCAATGGGTATAACTATAAGTGCGGTCACGTTAGCAAAATTTTGCAGGCAAAAAAAGTTCTATTATTATAGTGTTGCTTACAGAGAAGTCACTTTCGAACTTAGCAGCTTTCTGTCAGTTAAAGGAGTGAATTTGTATGACCAACTTGAACATGAACGAAATCTGCGTGGACCAATATTTTGTCCTCACACGAAACTCCCGAACATGTGGACTGGATTCCTATTGAAATGACTGGCTTTCGCCTGCAAAATGTCGCAGAGCAATGGTAACCGCACTTTAATGTTGCGCACTCTAGGGAAATATTTTTTTTTGTTTTTTTATTTTTATTTTTACTTTGCTTCAGTGCAAAATTGTAGCAGAAGTTTCTTCCAAATGATTGCGTCAGCAGCAATGCACTCAGATGGGAAGTAGCCAGCTAAACTATATAGTAGTGCTTACTTGCCAATGTCTGCCTTTAAGCAAAACAGTATGGACCATAGATATCCATAATAAAGGCTAGATGTCTTACGGCGTAGTCTCTATCGTTATCACCGGCGGCCATCTTGTCACAGGCATGGCTCTGTGGTGCCTGATGTAAGATGAGTGATCAGCACGAACACAAATACTCTTATCTCGTTGAAATCTTGACGGATTTACAAACGGTTTGGATTCTTACAAACGTTATTAACGTGGCTTTAATTCTGGATGATTATTCATTTATACACTTATTATTCATAAGTGTCATAACTACATCTCTGACGTTTATAACAAACCAAACCGTTTGAAAATCGGTAGAAAATTGAGCAAGTTACGGTTATTTAAAAAGTACATGCACCATTAAAACACAATGTTACGAGTGAGTGAGCTGCCTGTGACAAGATGGCCGCCAGGTGCGGACGTCGACCTCCATTGGCCAGCAGCGCGGACGAGACATCTAGCCTTTATTATGGATATCTATGGTATGGACTACTGAGTGATTGTCATATCACATAATTAATATTCATGAGCCAATAATGTGTCCCTCCCCCTTGTACCAAAGGTTACAATGCTTAATCTGCATGGAAAGCAGCGCCAAGAGATAATGCGGTAACTTGGTGCTTCATAGAGTTCAGTTTTTTGGGAAATGTTGACACGAGTCATGTGAAAAGGCCTTTCATTATTTGGCTCGGAAGCCAATGTCAAATCCACAAATTCATCGTGCAAACGTTTTTTGACAAAATAGGTCAAATCTCTATATATTGTTGATGTTTTCGGTCATGCTTTCTCAAATCTCAAATTTCATTTTCTGTTATGGGATTATTATATAATATTTAATCTGATTTGTATAGACTACGCAGACCAAACGCAAGTGCAAACTTGGAGCCAATGAACACGTGAAGGAACCAATAATGTCCACGCTTGACCGACTAACATCCACGTTCATGAAGTTATAAACAAGATGTACAAATTAAATACAGTAAAAAATAAATATAAAAGCCATGAAGGAAAAAGACAAGGTAAAGACAAAAAAGGAGAGACATGTAAAGGGCAAACAGACAATGAAGGCACGGTTTCCACACTCTGTATGAGGTTTAAGTCTTGTCAACACAGCATGTAATGGCTCAGCTTTCCATGTGAACGCAGGAAACTCTGCTGTGAGTCAGTATATGGATGGCCGAGGGTTCCCAATTAATATATCCGTCCAGATCTGCACACATCCCGACAGGTCCAAAACTGTACGCCCAAACCCGGAGAGGTTGCGGAAGAGCAGCACTGCTGTTATCCCTTATTATGTACATATATACAGTCAGGAGAGGGGGGGGGTTGTATGATGCTACATGTTTGCTATATGTCTGCTGGGCATTCAATGTGTCAATCATCTTCTTCGCAGGAAAAACTGTACTAGACGTCCGATCAGGTCGTTCATCCACATGACGATGACATGTTCGTTGGGAGCGTGCAGCTGGGCCACGTTGTTCCCGCCTGGACCAGCCTGTTAGGATGAAAGAGAAACAAGGTATTTAAAGGAGAATCAGAGGAATAGTACATATCTTCAAATAGACAAATTGCAAATCACAATAGAGGCAAACGTTGGAAACGAGCATTTTAGCACTTCCGGTTCCATCGTCCAGAAGTCAGTGTTTTTTTGGGGGGTTTTTGGTTAAATGTCTAAAATAAAGCCTGTGGTGAACACAAGATCAAGATATTTTCATGTTTTATGAATACATCAGTAATACCCCCTTGAGATTTTTTAAAGCTTTTACGTGTCTTGAAAAAGGCAGGTAAACTCATCTACTCGCTAGTTCGATTTCACAGCCTCGTTGTGTTTATAATTGTGCTCTTGCAAACTATTCTAACTCACACTTTCAGGTTTGTGTAGTTCGTTTATAGCCCACGTTTAGCTTTTCACTTCTGGTGATTGTATCATTTGTGAAGACAATCATGATGAACAAAACGTGTAAGAATCAAAAACGTTGAGCTTAATTTCTGCAATAATCCAAAAGCCAATGGAAAAATCCTATTGGGTTTTTGTCGAGGGAATCAGGGTGAGGCGAATCAGGTTGGACACTGCAGCGCTCTATTGCTTGGCATTTGTTGGTATTTTTATAAAAGTGCTGTTTTAATAGCTGTGATGTTGCTAAATTGGCATGCTGGAAGTATAGTACACTAACTCTTGATGTTGCATCTATCCTGTAAATTCATTCAACACATTTGGTAAATGCTAAAATGATTTTTAGCAAAGGGGCTGATTATAGATCGAAATGTTAAATGCTCCAAGTTTCCCTGACTAACTGACCCGTGCCTAATGTAGATAGTCACATGCATATTAGTGCACGTACGCACGCTGAAATCGTTCTGACTCATATCTGCTAATCTTTACAGTTAAGAGCCGCCCAGGTAAGTCCTTCAGCTTATATCGAGACACTGTGCACCATGTTGACACATAAAATACCATGTTGAGACCTTGATGCTTTGAAAGATTTACAGTATCTTTACGGCGATGAGATCTACAACAAACGCAATACAGGAACTAGCAGCTGACAGGTTATCCGGTGAGCTCCGAGTCGAGTTAGATTTGGCAGCGGTTGACCTAAACCAGGTGGCCTCTTTTTGGCCTGTATCTCAGCGCTCGCGTTCACCCGGCGTGCTGAATAACTGCGATAAGCAGCGGGGGCATTTCCCCCAGGAGACTGGCAGGAACTCGTGAGGAAACGCACTCCACAAGCCAGAAAAAGTGACGAGAAAAAAAGCCTTTCCTGTAGCGAATGAAAGGAGGATGAAAAACACCAGGCCTGGGGCGTCCCCTTCACCTCCAAGATAAGAATCTCCAGACCCAACAATCATCAATTCTGGGAGAATCTCATAAAAAACATGTCTTTCGTATATTTCACCCCACAATCCAAAGAAAAATATTTCAATATGTCAATGTTTTAGATGCAAAATTTATGGGAGGAGAGCATTTAAATGAATCATTCAAGGTGATTTACTAAGGTTTGCGCTTGTCAATTAACTGGTATTTGCGCCATTATTTACCGACCCACAAAAAAAAACAAGTCTTAAACCAGACACTAATTTGCACTGCTCTTGGTAGATTGTGTTGGTCAGTATGGAAATGAAATGTGCTTAACTATTACGCTAATAATATTAATATTTATGCATGCATAAAATAATTTCTTCTGGTTTTGGGGTAATATGGCCCATTTTAGATTCACTTTGCTATCGCACACACGTACATTAATTAAATCACTAAATCAAGGCAGGTGTGTGTCTATGAACACAATGGGCCTGCAGCATGTGGTCTAAATCAGCTCCTGTCATAAAACACTTTCTTTACAAACAAATGCAGAGAGTGGAAAAAACTTTGAATTCAGTAAAAGCCCTGCCAAAAATCACAACGTGCCCAAGGAGGGATTGTGTATTCAGCCAGAGGAAACAGGTGAGGAGGAAGTGAACTGAAATGGAGGAAGATTTCACTCTGTGTGTGTGTGTGTGCGTGTCTGTGAGAGTGTGTGTGTGTGTGTGTGTGTGTGTGTGGTTATACGAGAAAATCATGAGTCAGTACAGTGACTGCAGTGCTCAATCTGAATGTACTTCAAAGAGAAAGACTTGTTTCAAATGCTGAATATTTTCACATGACTTTCAACTTGAACATGAGTCAATGCTAAACCATGCAATTCAATGACTTCCACAACAAAACAACTCCTGAGGTCATTGAGTTTAGTTCAACCAAATTCAAAGGGCATTTCAGAGAGGAAGCTATACCACATTTTAAACCTGAAGGAAATTTAATCTGCAATACTAGGCTGACTGTAATGGGTTTTTGAATGGCCATTAGTAATAACAAGAGAGTAGGACTGTCATTGCACGATATAAGTTGTGCATTTCAAGCGCACAATGCATAGGCCAACTGTAGTGCGATTAACATGCATTGCACACTTGCTAAAAGAAGCTCTGAGCTACTATTACATTATAGGTCTGTTAGGCTGTCTACATTAATCTGGATACATTGGCGTTTTCATTTCAAAAGCTCTCTGTCCACATTAGCGCTTCAAGTGCTTTCAAGTTTTTCGCCCACACTGATGCATTGGAAAATGCTTAAATCATCTAACCGCGCATGCATAAATCATAATAAAAACTCACTGAGATGATACTTAAGAGACCAGAAATACAATTCTTACACTGTTTATCTGGCACAATCATTTTATAAGCAAGATATCTTACCGCTTACTGTTCGTTTTTTTTCTAATACCTCCCGTTTCACAGTTCACACAACAACACAAAAATGTCGGCTTCAAATTTATCTACTTGGTTGAGGGGGGAAAAGCTAAATGTTCACAGGACGTAAACACTGGACGGAAGGTCAAAATGTGGAGAAAAATATCTGGATTAGTGTAGTAGACGTAGCCTTAGTCCGGATTTTCAAAAACCACTGGCACAATTTCAATCCAAATTCAAAGCACGCACTTGACATCTAAATGGGATATATTTTTGAATCAACCATTTCGAATTCAGAATCCATTTTAAAATTTGGAGGGAGATTTAATGCTTCTATTAACCCTTTGACACATACAATCACACCAGTGTGATTAGAGTGTTCAGTGCGTCATGTGATCAACTGCCGAGCCAGAGTCAGATGCGTCCACATTGTTCAGTGTTTTCAACCACATAAAGTTTATTTTTCAGACATTATAATTCACACAAGTACTTGTAAAATACTCGCTAATGTCGATGGAAGTGGCAATAATGATCCTTTCAATGTGTTTTATTTAAATCAGATACTGTGTAGGTAACTATAAAGTTTACTCTATTCTTCTCCTATTTCACCGGCCATTTACTCTTATATCTTTCAGGAGAAGTGGATGAATTTGCATTGCCTATTGCCCATTATAAATCCACTAACATGATCAAGATGTTTAAATGGCAAAATACATTTACTTACACATAGTTGAAAATCAGAATGTTTTAGAAATTTCACAATACAGTTAACAAGTTAGTGAATACTTTGCATAAAGAGGGAAAATTTAATAAAACCAACGTATTAATCATACAGCAGTGTGTCATGTGACAAGCTTGCTGGGCGCCATGAAAATAATAAGGCGATGCATTCTAAAATAATGCCTAAAAACTCAAGCCAAGGGCTCAGCTAGAATATTATAAACTTAAGTGTGAAATGGTTAACTGCGCACAGATATCAGCCAATATGAACATCCTAAAACAGCCAAATGCCATCATATTTATTGGTCTATCACTAGTTTACATAACCGTTCGTATGTTGTTACAAAAGAGCAGTTGTGTTTTGCATGCATAACATAAGCGGGTCAAGAAAAGGCTCTTGGTTGTGATGTGGTAAGCGCGTCTTCAAAACCAGCGTGACACTGCAGATCGAGTAAAATGACAGGGGAGCATCCCTCTAATCAAGCACAATTAGCTTATGAGCCGCAGCGGAAAAACACAGACTTATTTACTATTTCAGCCTGGTTTGAGTCGACACAGATCAGCGCTCGCCTCCATCTGGGATCAATTCGTCACTGTTAGCTTTAAAAACAATCTTGACACAAAAGAGGGTGTTTATCTAGTTTGCTATCTGTAGTGGGACGGGGGGGGGGGGGGCAAACAGGGAGACCGTATGAGAGTAAAAGAGTGGCATCCCTGACTCATCTCGCATGGACAAAGGAGTCTGGCGTGGCAATAAACCGGGTGACCACATGCAAGAAAAACAGAGCTGCCACAACTCAACAAAGCCAGAGCACAGCAAAACAATCCTCACAGACTGTAGCGAGCTGCTAATGCATTCACAGATGGCTTCTCCGCTATTGCCAGAGCTGGTAAAAACCAATGTAATACAACACAAGCGCATGTGCTTTCAGTTTACGTGGAGGAATAGCATGTGACAAACTCACGAAATAGAAAAACATAGAGAACAAAGAAACTACACCTAATTAGCTGCATGTCAGCCTGCAGTTGCACTGTCAAGTTGTAAGATGGGATATGTATTTAGAGAATCAGTGTACGCAATAAAAACAATAGGGAAAAGTGCAAGCAGATGCAGAGGAAGGTGAATTATGGGACATCAACATAATTTAATCAAATCAAAACTTTACGATAAGGTTCCATTTGTTAACAACAACGTGAACAGCAGCATTTATTTGCTCTTAGGTCATGTTAATTTCAACATTTACTATTACATTCTTAAAATCCAAAGTTGTGTCTGTTAATATTATGTAACGGTCTTGGACTAACGATGCATTTTTATAAACTAATGTTAATAAAGATTAATAAATACTGCAACAAATGTATTGCCAACTAAATGTAATGTTAACAAATGGGACCTAATTGCAAAATGTAGATTAAAAATCATATAATAATACTGGTCTTATTGTGATTGATTCCTCAGGGCACAATAACTCGAAGGAGTTTTACATCATCTGACTTTCTAAAAATTGCATCCAATTCACATCCTGAAACGTTTTCCAGAGTTTTAAGTTTTAATTT